TTAGGTCTCACATCTATGCCTTTTTTGTAACTATAGTGTCACACTAAGCATACAGATTGTTAATCACAAGGTGATAAGGGGAGACGAGAACACCAGGCAAATTATTAAACTTGAAAATTAAGAGCACTGAACGCTGGAGAACCAACTGAAGCCACAAGCTATCATGCTGGCATGCAAATATGCGTATGCAGATGTGGACTAATATTACCAAAACTAAAGATGCTTTAACCTTCTTTTAGGGTACCACAGCCTTCATTATGTGAAGCATGTGAAGCTTATCAGGAGGAGAGTCTTATCATTATTTGTCTGGTGAAGCATGGTGGCTCAGGGGGACAGCTGAAGAATGGCATACAGCAGGCAGGCCTAAAATGGCAGGGATGGAATCTGGAGTGACACCCTAGCTTTTGTGTGACCTCTTTCAGAGGGTCATCATTGTATGCTGTCACTCTGTGTTGCCCTCAAACTAACTGTACCTGTTGTTTTGAGCACTAGGGAAAACTGGAGTAGATTTAAGGTGCATTCGCAAAATGACTCCAGCAGTAATTCTTGGAAGATCACAAAATAAAAATAAAATACACACTACCAGATTTAATTTAAAAGAAATGAATAATTTTATTCAGCAAGGACACATTAAATTGAACAAAATTGACATTAAAGACACACTTACATTGTTACAAAAGATCTTTATTTTAGATAAATGCAGCTCTTTTGAGTTTTCTGTTCATCGAAGAATCCTGAAAAAAAAAGTTTCGTAGTTTCCATAAAAATATTAAGCAGCACAACTGTATGCAGGATTTATAATAAAGCACCAAATCAGCATATTAGAATAATTTCTGAAGGATCATGTCACACTGAAGACTGGAGCAATGATGCTGAAAATTCCGCTTTGCCATCACAGTAACAAATTACATTTTAAAATATAATAAAATAGAAAACAGTTATGTTAATGATATTTCAAAATATATCTGTTTTTTATTGTATTATTGATCAAATGAATGCTGAGCGTAAGAAACCTACTTCCAAAACATTACAAAATCTTACCAACCCCAAACATTTGAACGGTAGTGTAAATAAAAAGTAATAATAGATATGTTAAAACACTGACAAATGAATCACAGAATGGTTCTCATCAATAATTTACAACAAATTACAATATAAATCAAAAAGTTTGAATATCAGAGTGGCACTTCAGTAACAATTCCTGGAGTGTACAATATAATTTTTTTATTTTATTCAATTTGATGAAAGCCATGGTTAATAGCACTTGATATCATTTACATCCTTTTGGACTGCAAATATAATGGTCTTTACTGCCATTTCGGGAAGTTTTTAATGAAAATGACACCCTAACTAAATAGAATATGGGGTGTGCAGTGGGCAGTTCAAAATGAAGCCAAATGGTGAGGTCATAACTGTCCGTTCTGATAACAATCATCATAATCATCATAAGACAACACAGCTGATCAGCAGGAAATAAACATGGAAACACAAACATCTAATCAGCCACCAGCCTCCATCCCAGTTGAGAATGCTAGTTGATTATTTAGATTACATTGGGGGCCTGAATAAATTCAGAAAGCCACCCACAAAGAGGGCCTCTATCAGACCAGCTCCTCAAACAAGCAGAAGCCATGGAGATATGAGACGCCTCACAACAATGGAAGTGTGGCTGAGAGATATAGGAACTTCAGGAGCGTATTTGCTTACAAGGCCCCTGGCCAGCACCAGCGCACAGAAAATACTCACTGACCACACACAGGTTCACCAAATCACTGTTTGTTAAATCGTTGTACATTACAGGACTAATCTTTCTCTTATCTCCTATTTTTAAACATCACTAATGAATTTTCTCAAAATGAGAGTCAAAGCGTGAATATGAAATAAAACAGTCTCTCTCTTTCTCTCTCAGATGGGCTGCAGGACTGTGGAGTACAGTGCTCAGAGCAGGGTTTGTTTTGGGTGTGTGTGATGAAGTTCGAGGGGGGGTTTGGCCCTCGGCCGAGACGGATGACTATTGTGTGTGCAAGAAGGAGTGTGTTCGGAGGGTGCTGGGCAATTTAAGACAGCATTTAGCATGCAGAGCCAGACAGGGTAAATCAACCTGACTGCACACAATCATGAGCAGAGAGAGAGAGAGAGAGAGAGAGAGAGATAAACAACCAAAAAGAGAGAGAAAGAGCAGGAGAAAATATATTTTTTCGTAAAGAATAAAGGGAATCTTGTCAGTGTGATGCATTAAATCCAAGAATACTGTATTTGTAAAATACTGTATCTCAGAATTTTGCTGTATAATTTATTCTTGGAAAATAGGTTGTTGTTTTTTTCTATATAAAATGCACAAATAAGACTGGGATTGACAGGTTTCTTCTTTGAGAGCTGTCCTATTCTTCTATCTATAGTTTTATGACGAACCTTGAACATCCATAGAACATTGCTCAGCAGGTTCTTTATAGTGAAAAAAGGGTTCTTTACACTTAAAAAACAACAACAACAACACAAAAACTAATCCTTTTGGAATTGTTTACTGATAGATTTATTGGAGACCCCAAAATGGTTCTTCTATGGTATCACTGGGAAAACCCCCTTTTTTAACAATCTCCAAAATGATAACCAGAAAAAAGATAGAGTCTAGATGGAAAAAAAAAAAACAGGGGGAGTGAAAGATTAAAATTAGTCTGAATGAGGCCCACACCCGGCCCCTTTCATTTGTCACTGGACCCAAATCAGGCTTTTGTGTGGGACTCTGTAAAGTAGTGTCAATCATTCTGCTGGTGTTTTATTAGAGAGGAGATTTTTTTATGAATTTACTCTTCATGAATTAAAAGGACCTCCTGCTCTACGTACTGAAAATAGGCAATACAGACTGAAGTTAGACATCACAATACCACTCGTACACTGGAGCAACATCAAAGTGCCCAAGACATCCAATCAGATTTATGTTGAAGCAACTATGTGATGAATATGGTGTAGCCCTCACACAAAAGTGCTTTTGTGTCACTTAAATCAGAGGCTATTCAAAATCAGCACGGGTCTGTCTGATTGGATGATGGGGAAAGGCCTTACAGCGCATCCAAACTTCACACGCACAATAGAAAATGCACATTTTCATGCACTCAGAACCTTAGTGCTTGGTTGACTCACATTTGGTGCACTTTGAAGGACATCATTTGAACCAAGAATAGGACTGCTTTTTGCATGGTCTAAATTGGGAGAGTTAGAATTGCACAAACCTAAACAGGACTCCTTATCTTTGCTGATAAGAGCCCTGCATATATGCTAAAACTGAAAGAAAAGAGTGAACAAGAAAACCAACATTGGTAGGAAATCTTGGATGCCCTCCAGGACAGTTAGTTCATCACCATTAGTCTTCCGTTGACGTCTATTCACAGCCTCCATAGGTTGGGACGGACACATTAGTTACACCACAAAGGTATTCAGGGGTTATAAATTGCTTTACTCTTGAACTTTTTGTTGTTGCTTAAAAATTAACTGTTCACATACTGTATCCCAAGGCTGCATCCCGTCTACAGCTGCCTGCCACCTTCCTTTGTGGTTATACACTAAATGACTCCCATTAATTAAACCATGTTGACACAACTCAAAGCCACTTCTTTTATGAAAGATAAAGAAGTTGTAAATAAAACAAAGACTACTGGAATATGTTTTACAAGAAATTACTATTTCAGATTTCTACTTCAAAATTTCACATTTTATTCAATGCGTTACTTGCTTTTTTTGTAATTCATTGTAAAATTGACTAGCAATTTCTAAGTAAAAATTGTTTCTACTATTTATTTCAGTGTAAATCAGTGCTATGTATTTTATACATTATGTACAGTCATGGCCAAAAGTTTTGGCAGTGACATAAATTTTGTTTTGCAAAGTTTGCTGCTTCAGTATTTGTAGATTGTTTTTCCACGTTTCTATGGTATACTGAAAAACATGATAAGCATATCATAAGTTTTAAAGGCTTTAACTGGCAAAAAATAAATTAAAAAATATATATATAATGAGTCAATATTTACAGTGTTGACCCTTGTTCTTCAGAACCTCTGCAATTCGCTCTGGCATGCTGGATATTAGCTTCTGGGCCAAATCGTGACAGATGGCGATGCATT